AAAGTTTTGAATAGTTGTAGAGGACCGGAAACTGTCTTTCAGCTTGGAGAAGCAGCGGAAGTTGGTAATTGGAGGAGCGGAAAGTGACTAACTTGCAGGATAGAATCAGGAGAGGCATTAGGCAACCTCTGCGATTACCACCTGTGTGGTGAGAGCCATGATTCCAGGGTTGCTCGCCCGCAGCTGTTGAGGGGTAACTTACAGAAACTTTTTATTAAACATTAGCATTTTGGTAATGATGATTACCATGTTTACGACTATCAGCCCTAGATGATTGTGCTGTTGAATAATATGAACTCTGAATTTTGATTTATGATTTGAATGAAAAATATACATTTCCACAAGAGTTATAATTATAGGTTTCTTTCTTTTTAAAAATGGCACACAATTCTGCCCTTCTGCTTATTAAAAGGATACACATTTAAGGCAGCGCATTTGGTACGTTTGGCAAAATGAAAACAGTAATCCACTATTCATCCTAGTGCACCCAGGACAGTCCCAGGTCAAATTAGCACCCTCTTTCACTCTCCTAGGAGCTTTGGTGGTGCAGTGCCCGAGGCATTTGACTGCTAACCAGAAGACTGGGGGTTTAAACCCACTGGGGGTTAAAGCCACTCCTTATAAGGAAGATTGGGCAATCTACTTCTGTAGAGATACTGCCTCAGAAACCCAAGGAGAGGTCGCTATGAGTCGGATCTGACTCGAGGGCAGTGAGTTTTTGTTTTGAATTTCACTTTCCTAAGGAGCTCTGGTGGTGTAGTGCCTAAGGCATTTGACTGTTAACCAGAAGGTTGGCAGTTCAAACCCAAAAGCCACTCAATGGAAGGAAGACTGGGCAATCTACTTCTGTAAAGATTTACCACCTCGGAAACCCAAAGGGTTCCAGAATTGACTCAGTGGCAGTGATTTTGGTTTGTTTTTTCAACTCTGAATGAAGGAGCTCTGGTGGCATAGTGATTAAAGCATTCAGCTGCTAACTAAAAGTTGGCAGCTTTAAACCACCAACTTCTCTGTTAGAGAAAGATAAGGCAGTTTGCTTCCATAAAGATTTATAGGCTTGGAAACCTTACGGGGCAGTTCTTCTCTGTCCTAAAGAGCTGGAATCAACTTGATGGTAATAGGGTTTTTTAGTTTACTCTGAATTCCCTGGGTTGTGCAAATGGTTCACACTTGTCTTTGTTTGTTGTTGCGTGCCATCAAATTGATTCTGACTCATAGTGAGCTTATAGTACAGGATAGAACATAGGGTTTCCTAGACTGTAATATTTACGGGAGCAGATCACTAGGTCTTTTCTCCTGCAGAACCACTCTGTGGTTTGAACCACCACCTTTCAATTAGCATCTGAGCACCTAACCACTGTACCACCAGGACTTCTTTGTGCTTGACTATTAACTAAATTGTTGATGGTTTGAACTAACTCAGTGGTATCATGTAAGAAAAGCCCCACAATCTTCTTCCAAAAAAGATAATAGCAAGAAAACCCAATGGAGCAGTTCTACTCTGTAACACAGTCTCCATGAATTGAAATTGACTCCATGGCAATAGGTTTGTTGTTGTTGTCATTTTTCACTCTGAAGGAGTCCCTGTTTGGTGCTCCTGAATGAAAGGTCAGGGGTTTAATTCCAACCAGAGGCAACTTGAAAGAAAGGCCTAGCTATCTGTTTCTGAAAAGTCAGCTATTGAAAGTGCTATGGAGCAGAGTTCCACTCTAACACACGTGGAGTAGCCATGAATTGGAATCAATTTGATGGTAATTTTTTTTTTTTAACTCCCCCCGCCCCCCATTCTCAAAAGTGTCCTGGTTTGGTTGATAGCTTATGTGGTCACTCTATCCCTACTGCTACTACCCAGAAGTAACTACCATTAACATGTTGGTTGGTGTCCATAGAGTTCTTGTTTCCAACAATAGGGTCATAGTTGAGTGATGGAGAGTCTAGACTGTGAAGCACAATAAGCCTACCTTTGGAGCTTGGCTGGGCCACTTATTAGCTCTGTGACTATGACATATTTTCAAACAAGGAATTTTAAACTTTTCCTGTCACTTAAAACATCACAATAACAGAACAGATATATGCACACCGTTGTTCAATCGCAGCACTGTTTACAATAGCCAAAAGATGGAAACAACCTAGCTGCCCATCAACAGAAGAATGGATAAGCAAACTATGGCACATACACACAGTGGAATATTATGCAACACTAAAGAATAATGTAGAATCTACAAAACACTGCATAACATGGATGAACTTGGAGGACATTATGCTGAGTGAAGTAAGTCAATCACAGAAGGACAAATACAATTATTAGTTCATTATTATAAACAGTTAAGGAAAGGTTTATATACAGAAGGAAACTTTCTTTGTTGGTTACTAGGGGTTGGGGGGAAGTGGAGGGAAGGAACACTGCAAAATTAAAAATAAATAAATAAATCCCTAACCGACCCACCCCAAAATATCACAATAATAAAAAATTCTAACAGCATAAAATGGTACAAGAAACATTCTACCACACCCCTATCCTACTCCCAAGAGGTTTTTTTTTTTTTTCAAAAAAGACTAAACCAGCTCTAATTCACTTGATTCTGACTCTTGGCAATCCTGTGTATATTAGAGAAGAACTGTGCTTTGTTGGGTTTTCAGTGGCTTATTTCTCAGAAGTAGATGGCCAGGCCTTTGTTATGACGTGCATCTGGGTAGACTCAAATCTCCAACCTTTAAGATGGTAGCCAAGAACTTAACTTTCTGCCCCACCCAAGGACTCTGTTCCTCAGAGGTAGTCACATTCAATTGGACAGGTTACTTCACCTCTTTGTACTTTCATTTCTCACCTGTGAAATGGGGATTCCAATATTCATCTTACATATACTCATGTATTCTGGATCTTATGTGCCCAGCATAGGTCCTGATGTATAGTAAATGCTAAAACATGGTTATTAATACTATGCTATTGGCATGCTCTCTTGTATCCTGCTCATTTTCACTTAATAAGTATACAAAATAGTTTCTTAACCTCATTTGTAATAAACAGAAATCCCCCAGTAAATATGGAAATGTGAATTTTCTGAGGGGCCTCTATTCCAATGTTGTTCTTAGCAAATATTGCCAGGCTCGGTGAGCGTGGAAATGGAACCATCATCTCCCTGCTTGAAACTGGTCCTTCCAGGTGGGGCTTGGGGCAGTCTGGGTGTGTGGGAGGCAGTGGGGTGGAACATTTACACTGCTGTTTGTGGTGTACCTGTTCACTCATAAACAGAGAGCTTTAGTTTCCATCTGGCTCTACTCACTGGCACTAAACTCACATTAAAAAAGAAAGAGAGAAAGAGAGTAATGAAAAAGAAAGACATCTAAACTGCTCCATGGATAGGATCAAAAAACAAATTTGATCCCATAATCCCAGGTTCCAGTGTGGTCAGGATGAGGCAGGAAAGGGAGTTTTCTGAAATAAAAGCACCCAGGGAGGTGTATTTTGACTATGAAGAAGATTAGTTCTTGTCACTTCTTGGTGACGAGTACTACTGCCTCTGTAGTCAAAACATCCCACTGAAACTGGGAATTGCTGACAAGAATGTCCTCCCTTTCCTGTTGCTTTATTTAGGTACAGTCAGTTACCACTTGTTTTGTCACAGTCAGACACTAGGGAGATGCCTCTGTTATCCTCAATAGGATGGAAACTTTGGTTCACAGAATTCACTTTCTAGACTCTTCCAGCCCCCTGTCTTTCCTCTCTCAGGCTCCACCTGGGCTGTTTGTCTCACTGGCTGTGAATACACTTTCCTGAGGTTGGGGATCTAGAATTTTAGCTGTCATAACAACGGTTTCCATCCCCTGCTTTTACTGACTCTGTCTTCACAGACTTCGTTAAGTGGATGAAAATACTAGCTTTTTTTTTTTTTCCATTAATAAAACTGTTCTACTATAAAAGTAGGAGTTTTTCCATGAGACATTTTGGAATACTATTGAAAACAAAAGATTCTTACCTACCTGAAAACTAAAAAGTTATAGATATGTGCTCCTTTTCCCAGGGATGACACCTTGACTCTTGAAAGCATTTTCTGTATGTTGGTATTCTTTACATACATAGAGTGACCATGTAGTAAACAAGTCTTAATTATCATACTCATTGCCTTTTATTAAGGGGCTCTGGTAGCGCAGTGCCTAAAGCATCTGACTACTAACCAGAAGGTTGGTGGTTCAAACCTACCAGGTGCTCTGTGGAAGCAAGACTGGGCAATCTACTTTGTGAAGATTTACCGTCTCAGAAACCCAAAGGGGATCGCTGTGAGTCAGATCAACTTGATGGCAGTGGGTTTGGTTTGGGGTTTTTTTTGAAATTTAAAGAAAAAAATTTATTGAAGATCAGAAAAACAACTCCTAAAAGATTGACTTGTCCAGAAACTGTAGCTACACAATGCATTGCATCTATCATGTTAAAATGTGCATTAGACACAAATACAAAAACCATAAAACAAGCCACCATTCTTCAACAATCTGAGCAGAGATAAAATGCCTAAGGAACAACATAGATGACTTGCAAAGGATGGGCTCTTTAAGCACCATTAAAAAAAAGAGAGAGCACAAATGGATGAATGAATGTGTTCAGTTATATACACTGAATTGAACCTTTGGCACTAGAAATCAGAGCATTTTGTCATATAGCATTAACACATACTATAAAAGTGCATAGTGTCAAAGGAATAGAACCACCAGCATTCAAAAGCAGCTTTGTCAACTAGGCAATAAAACACTCTACAGCATGTCTTTCCATTGTCTATCATTGAATACACTGGTAGCAATATTGAAATGGAAAAAAAAAAAAAAAAAGTAAGGAAAAAAAGGAGCTGTAACCCCTTTTATTTTCTCTGTTTAAAATCAAACAGAAAACAAACATATATCAATTTTGTTATATGCTAATATTTTCAAAGTACATCATTTATACAAGAGAAGGACTAAGAACAAAAATGTGTTTACAGAGATCCAAATGTAAGTGAGTGTTAGCAGTCTCACACAGCCTTCCGTTGATACTCAGGAGGAGCCACTTCATAATCGCTGGCACTAAACAAAGTGGCAGAATTCTTTGCTGGGTATTTTAGGAAATCATGAAGACAGTTGAGTAATAAAGCAAGGCTCTTCTCATCCAGAGGTGTATAGGCCAACGTTGCTCCAATTTGTACAAATAATCTCAGTAGACGTGGCGCTCCATACACCTGGGACATGGGTGCATCAGGGTGATCTGCGAGGATTTCAGTGTATTGTGGTCTCTCAAATTTGTAGAGTAGCTGAGTGCCCAACATTACATTGAAGTACTCTTTCATTCCTGCCACAACTTCATTAACAGCATATTCCTTATTATCTGTGTTTCCTCGAGATTTCTTATAATTTGCATAATCCTCCCGAATGGAATCCACATTCTTCTTGGCAGGAAGACAAAAGAACGGTTTTTGCCTGGTAATTAAGTCCCAGTCATCAACAAGCCATGGTTTCAGTTCTTCAGGGATCTTTAGTTTAACTTCAACTCTGTTCATGAATGTTTCCTCATTTTCAGCAGTAGGATCAACTTGGGCCCTTTTCTTCCAAGGAGGCTGAGGCGTTGTCACTGGTACTGCCACCATCTCCATTTTCAGGAGTTTTCTGTTTATTCTTTTTTGTTTTCACTTCAACATTCTTCTACTGCAGACCAGATGTCTTCTTTCCTGGGGCAGCCCCTCTCATCTTCCCCTCTGCATACCGCTCCTGATTAGCTTTCTGAAGTTCTCTCTGTTTCTGCAGGTTGGTGTCCACGTACTCGAGTACCCTGCTTTCTGGAACCCACTCATCCCAGTTTTTATTCCAACCACTGTAATGTATAAAGCATTTCACTTGTTTGTCCTTTATGGCAACCTTTACATACTTTGCTTCATAAAGAAGAGGCCCATGAGAGCATGGCACTCGCTCACCCTCCTGGAATTTAGGCTTCGGGTCCTGCTTCGGCGCTATTTAAAAGTGATTCGCCGCCTCCTCCTTCACCCACCACCCCCGACTACCGCCCCCTACTCTCTACCCCACCCAACTCCGCCTCAGAGGCACCGTCAGGCACCGCCAGCACTGCATCCTGGGCCCGATTTGCCGGCGCTCGTAGACTTCATGGCACCGCGACCAGCGCAGCCGCAGCTTCAGCTGGTGTGGGTTTTTTGCCTTTTATTGAAATACGTCTTTAGCGAAGAAATAAATCCTTTTGAACACACAAGACATTTTTTGTTTTTAACCATATCAATACCAAAACCAAACCCACTGCCATCGAGTTGATTCTGACTCACAGCAACCTCCTTTGATAAATCTTTATGGAAGTAGGGTTATCCAGTCTTCTATCCATGGAGTGGCTGGTTGGTGTGAACCAACAGTCTTCTGGTTAGCGGTTAGACACCTTAGGTACTGTGCCACCAGAGCACCTTAAATACATTAACAGAACGCTTTAAAGTTGTTTTTCTGTATTGTTATTGTTAGTTGCTGTTGAATCAGTTCTAACTCCCCGTGGATCCATGTAGGACAGAAACATTGCTCAGTTGTCTTAGTGATCTAGTGCTGCTATAACAGAAATACCACAAGTGAGTGGCTTTAGCAAACATATTTATTTTCTCACATTTTAGGAGGCTCTCAGAAACTCATTATTGTCAAGTTGATTCTGACTCTTAGTGACTCTGTAGGACAGAGCAGAACTGCCCCATAGGGTTTCCAAGGTTATAAATCTTTATGGAAGCAGACTGCCTCCTCTTTCTCCCGCAAAGTGGTTGGTAGGTTCGAACTGTTGACCTTCCGGTTAGCAGATGAGTGCTTAACCACTGTGCCATCAAAGCTCCTTTTAGGAGGCTCGGAATCCAAATTCTGGGCACCGCTCCAGGGGAAGGCTTTCTCTTGGTCGGTTCTGGAGGAAGGTTCTTATTCCTTGGGTCCTTGGTGATCTTCATGGGGCATGGTATTTATCATCCCTGATCTCTGAATGCTTCTCTCTGCCTAGTCATCTTGGTTTATATCTTGAAGGTGATTGGCTTAAGACATACCCTACACTGATATGGCTTCATGAACATAATAAAAACCCCTATTCCAAAATGGAATTACATCCACAAGTATGTTGTCATTATTGTTGTGGTTGTTGTTATGTGCTGTTGAATTGGCCCCGACTCATAGCCACCCCTCCTTGGGTTTCTGAGGCAGTATCACTATGGAAGTAGATTGCCCAACCTTCCTTCCGAGTAGTGGCTGGTGGGTTTGAACCACCAGCCTTCTGTTAGCAGTCAAGGGCTTTAGGCACTATGCTACCAGAGCTCCTAACCACAAGCATGCTGTTGTTGTTGTTATGTGCCATCAAGTCGGACCTGACTCATAGCGACCCCTCCTTGGGATTCCGAGGCAGTATCACTACAGAAGTAGATTGCCCCATCTTCCTTCCGAGGAGTGGCTGGTGGATTTGAACCACCAGCCTTCTGGTTAGCAGTCAAGTGCCTTAGCCACTATGCTACCAGAGCTCCACAAGTATAGGGATTAGTAATTATGACACATTTTTCTAAGGACACAATTCAATCCATAACATTGGTCCTATACCATCTTCACAATTGCTGGCATGCTCAAATCCATTGTTGTGGCTGCTGTGTATTTTGAATGCCTTCCAATCTAGGGGGCTCATCTTCCACGCTATATTGGATAAATTCTGTTGTAATCCATAAGATTTTTTTTTTTTTTTAATTGTGATTTGGGTGAAAGTTTACAGAGCACATTCACTTTCTGTACAGCAGTTCACACACACGTTGTCTCATGATATTGACTACAATTTACCCCAATGCAACAGCTCCCCTCCCACTTCCTCCCAATAGTTACCTCTTCCCTGTGTCCATCCCTCCATGAGCTCCTGCCCCCTGAAATGTCTTCCTGTGCATAAACAGCCCTTCTTTCTCCCATGATTATTCTCTCCAAGGAGTGTATCTACCTCAGGTACATGTTCAACTCATACGCCTGTCTTTCGTTTGGCTGGAGCCACAGGTGTGGGTTCAATTCCAGACTTGAAGGGTGGCTAGGGACCATAGTCTAAGTGGTTCCACCAGGCTCTATTAGACCAGCAAACCGGTCCCCCCCCCTTTTTTTTCCCCAAAAGATTTTGAGTTTTGTTCCTCATTGTTCTCCTTCTCTATCCTGGATCGCCTACATAGATCCCCCTCTGAGTGGTTGACATTGGTAGCAGGGCACCATCTAATTCTTCTGGTCTCATAGTCATATAGGCTGAGGTTCTCATGGTGTACCAGTCATGAGAATTAATTATTTCAATGCATCTTTGATTCCCTTCATTCTTCTTTGCTCTGGACAAGGAAAGACCCATCGCTGCATCTAGATGGCTGCTTGCAAGCTTTTAAGGTTCCAGTTGCTACTCGCCAATGTAGGAGATGGAACAATGTTTTGTGTAGTATGTTATGCCAATGAGCTTGTGTAACCCATAGGATTTTATTGGCTAATGTTTGGAAGTGGGTTGCTAAGCCTTTTTTCCTAGTCTGTCATAGTCTGGAGGCTTCACTAAAACCTGTCCATCATGGGTGACCCTGCTGGTATTTGAAGTACCAGTGGCATATCTTCCAGCATCAGAGCAATATGCAAGCCACCAAAATACAATAAAATGACAGATAAGTTTTTTGTATTATTTATTTGTACCTGTTATTTATTTCAGTATATCAAATTTCCTGAAAACCTAAGTGCTTAAAATGAATATTTATTATTCACATGTTTTTTGGGTCATTTTTAGCTAAGAATTTCTCATGAGGTTTCATTCAAGATGCTGGCTTGAATTATAGTTGTCTGAAAACCTGACTGGGCTGGAGAATCCACATCCAAGCTCACCCACATGGCTGTTGACTGGGACTTTCAGTTTCTCATTGTGTGGACATTTCTGTAAGACTTCTTATAACATGGCATTTGGCTTCCCCCAGACTGAGTGATCCAAGAGAGATAGACCACCAAGATAGAAGCCACTGAGTCTTTTATAACCCAATTTTAGAAGTGATATCCTACCAGTTCTATTATACTCTACTGGTTACATAGACCAATCCTGGTACAGTGTAGGAGGGGATTATACAGGAGTATGAATACAAAAAAAAAAAAAAAAAAACCCAGATAATTGGGGGCCATTTTGGAGGCTGGCTACCTCGGTCCACACTCTTGAGTCCTAATGATTTACTTTACTTCCATATGGAAAGCACACTCACCCCCTCCTAAGACCCAAATGTCTTATCTTATTAGAACATCAACTCCAAGTCTAGAATGTTGTTGTTGTTGTTATGTGCCGCCGAGTCGGCCCCGACTCATAGCGACCCCTCGTTGGGTTTCCGAGGCAGTATCACTACAGAAGTAGATTGCCCAACCTTCCTTCCGAGGAGCAGTTGGTGGATTTGAACCGCCAGCCTTCTGGTTAGTAGTCAAGTGCCTTAGGCACTATGATACTGTCATCTAAAGTAGGTTCCAATATGGATGAAGCTCTGGTGTAATATCTTAGGTAGGACTCCTTGAGTATAGTTCCTCTCTATCTCTAGGTCTATGAATTACACAGACAAATTTTCTGCACACCCCCCTCACTTGACATACAATGATTAGACAGGCATAGGATATCTGATACAGGTATTTCTGCTCAAAAATGAGGAAAATAGGAGGCACACAGGGGTCTTTAGCCATTCTGAAATCCAGCTGGGTAAATCTGGAAGTTCCTTAATTAGGACTCAGTCATATTCCTGACTACAAATTATTCTGTATCTTTCTTGGCTGTGCCTTCCAGACTCTTGGTTCTGTCCCCTGAGTCATCCTTCTTTCATGAAAAGTAGCACATGTTTGTAGCTCAGAATTTTTCTCAACCTGCTTCTGGTCAGTAAAATTTTGGGGTTCCAATGGCCTTTTTTCATTTTGTACTCTGTCTGTGCCTTTTGGTCCAAGCTGGGAGTGTCTCTACTGGCGTTATTCTTTAAGGAACTTTGTGGATCTTCTGTGAATCTGTTGGAATTTATTCCATTGGATAAAAGCCACACCCACAAATCTCTTCAAGAACTGCTCCCACCCCATTTTAACATTAGACTTCTACTGAGGGACCATGTCCTTAAACTTCTCAAAAGCCATATTGTTTGAGTGACTCTGTGAGTCACACCCTTAGAATTGTTAGAGGGCCTTTACTCAGAATAAATGGTATTCTGGGGCATGATGTTTTCCTAGCAGTATCCTGCATTTGATCTTTGCCTGAAAGCTGTTTCTTAGTTTTAGCATCATTTGTCATTTGGAAGACCTGGAAATCTTCCAAACTATTAAATCCCAGTTCATTCATATTTACTAGTTTTCTTTGATTTATCTCTCTCTTATAAGCAGCAAGAAGAAACCAGGTGGTACATTTAACACTCTGGCTAGAAATCTCCTTAGACCACCCAGTTCATTGGGTACATTTTCTATTTTCCACGTAACTGCAGGTGACAGTGTTGCCAAACAAGGATTCTCATTCCTCCAATTTTCAATAAGCTTTTTCTTGATTTCCTTCAAGTGCTCACTGCCATCCTTCGCAAAATCCACAATTACATAAACAATGTCTTCAAGGCACTTTAATCTTTTACTAACACTGTTCTCAAACTCCTTACAGCTTTTCCAGTTTCTCCTCACTGCTCAGTGCCAAAGTCATTCTCACATTTAGATTTTTGTTGCTGCTTCCAGTTTTAAGTACCAAAATCTTTACAACAGCTCTTCCAGATGAACGTGTTTATTCTCAATTCATTACTAATACCAGATTGGGAAATGGAGACTCAGAAGGTTGTTGACTTGCTAAAGATCACACAGCCACTATGTAGAAGAATCTAACAATGCTCGACTCCAAAGGGGAGATCTTCTTTTTGCTATACCATGCTGCCTCTGGAGGAGAAAAGATAAATAGAATTTATCAACAATTTGGAATTGCAGCAGTCTTGACAGGAATATCAAATCACATAATTCTAGGTGTCACCACTTAAATTGCATATTTTTGTACTGTCCTATCCAGTTCAAAGTCCTGGCAGTCTGTACCTGTCCTAAAACAGCTTATTTTATAAGTGAAGGAATTGAGGTTTCTTATCATTACACATATAAGAGATGCTAGAGTCTGGATTTAAACAAGGCCAACTAACTCCTAAATACTTTATCTTCCAAGTATTCCATGAACATCACATATTCATTGATATTTGGACAAATGTCAAGGGCATTATATTTATTGACAAGGGTCAGAAAGGGACTAAGTATATGACTTTAAATTCTCTCTACTTGGGGATCCTCATCTGTGAAAATGAAAATGGTAGGTTTCTCATAGGGATATTGTCATGATTGTATGAGTCAATACATGTAAATCTTAGTAGCATGTGGCCTATTGTAAGCTGTCCATAAATGCTTTCACATAGTCAGCACTCGGGAGATCTGCATTATAGCTCCAGTGTTGGCTGGTCACTTGAATTATTCAAGGCTGTGCCTCAGATCTGCTGCAAAACAAAGATGGAAATTATCCATTCTGGATGTCACAGAGATTTGATGGACAAAAATGAAATCAGTTACATGACAAGTATTGAGCTCCTCAGCAGAAAGTTATTTCAGAAGTCTGGCCTTCTATAGCACCATCTCAGATGGTATGAAAGAACCTCATTCTGAGTCTCTAATACCCTTTTGGCTCCAGCCAGGAGCCCATGCTTCATTAAAAATGGTGAGCTGTGCCAATTTGTCTGGGGCTTTATGAGGCAGATGAAAAGGGGCCTCGGAAGAGACTATCGGTTCCACCCTGGCTCGGTCTGGGTGTTTGCCCCCAGACTTATGTGGTGAGATGAGGGCACCAGCTCACCCACTTCGCTTCAGACTGGGCTGCCCTCAAGGGCCAGGGCATTGATCTTGCCCCTAAGGCTTGGAATGTGGCTCCAGCCGTAGCCCCAGGCCTCTTGAGGCTCCCCAGTCGGCCTCACACTTTCACAGGTTTATTCCTGGTGGCAACTGGTCTCAGAAGGTAGGAAAGTATGAATTTGGAACTTTGCGGTCATTTTTATGTAACAATGTTTTAATACATAAGATGTTGGAGTCGAGCTTTCTATGCTTTCCAAACGGTGTCTGTATTTTGATTTTTAATGTGCTCCTGAACAAGGCTGTCTGCCAGCACAGGCCAAATCTGGTTAAGGAGGGCTCCTGTACCTGGAAAGGGTCCCTTGAGAAAGCACTTCAAGTCATTTATCCAGCGCTGGCTGGTTTTGCTCTTGGCTTGGAGATTGTCAACTTTCCACCAGACCTGCCGCATAGTAGAGCACATCCTCTCCGAGAAGGCGAGTGAGCCAAGGAGAGAGCAGGTTGCAGGAATGACAGCTATAAAGCAGATGTTATTAGTGGGCATTGGGTGAGGTTGGGAGGCTGAGTACAGTAGCTTTATTTCAGCCTCCAAGGTGGGCCACAAGCCTGTGGTCTAGAAGGAAAGCTGCTCCCATTTGGCTGAGCCTGCAATCCTGAGAATCCCCAGGCGAAGAAACACTTCTGCTCCGTGTGTAAATTCAGAGCCCAGGTCTGGAAGGAGTGATGTTGATGAAACGCAGCATTTGGGGTGCAGCCTTGAAGGCTGTCAAATAGATGCCAGTTGAGAACTAGGAACAAGAAATTTAAATACCTCATGGCCACCCAGTTTTCATTCTGCTTTGATTATTGTTAAAGCAATAGATTTTATTAACCAAACAAACAAACAAAAACCAAGAGAAGATAAGAATTGCAGCAGAGTGAAAACTGGCTTGCCATTGTTAACCGGGACACAGCTATGTGTTATACATGTTGCTATGTTGGGTGACAAGATGCTTATATTTAAGTTAGGATGTATGCCCCACATTTGGTATACATTAATTTTTTTTTTTTTTGCCACTTTGATTTCTTTACTCTGAAAGGGAATCTGTGTCAATTTAATGTCTCCTTCTAAAGAGAATACCTATTGCATCACTGAACACTTACCTAGTAGTTAATGTTTGGATTTCTTTTTTGTTTTTTTTCCAGAGAATGGAAATAAGGATAATTCTTTAAATCTGAATGTGACCTAGCTCTAAATAAGATGACCCCCATATCATCCGGGTATCTACAGTTTCTCTGGGTACTTTCTAACTAAACCCTGAAATAAAGGCCTTTCATGATACTCAACCTTGCCATGGTCTCCTTGCCACCTCTTTTATTCATATAGTCCCATAAGAAGAATCTAGTAAAATGATCTGATGGTTATTTCTAGAATTGAAATCATAAAATGAAATGGGATGAAACATGCAGAGGCCAAATTTATCTCACTAAGTTGTGTGTGAGCATTTCAAATTCAAATTACATGGGCTGCATGTATATAATAAACAACAAACTGTGTGAAATCTCCAGAGAGATTTATGTAAAGTACTGTAAAGAATGCACCACAGATGGAGATGTTGTTCCTCATGGATTTGCATGTTGCATAAATGATCATTTTCAAAAATTAATTACGTTTTGTATTTTCTTTGCCGTTCTTCTTGACTGTATGGAGATCAGGACCAGTTCATGAGACTCCTTTTTGTCTTTAAGTCCAGAGAAGTGTAGTGTCTACAGTGGTGTAACTAATTAGGTTGTCCTGGATATTTAATCTGCAGAGGGTTAAAAGGAAATATTTCCCACATTCATTCCATACCTCCTTGAAGGAAGGAGAAGTCCACTACTGCTGTGCCAAAGTCTTAATGTATAAAACAGGAAGTACTAAAACATATGGGGGAGGGATTTTTAACCTCCCAGCACTTCAAGTGTGGTGCCAACCCATTAATTCATTACTCTGCTCATTCATTCATTCAGCAGTCCTTTCTTTTCGCACTCAGCACTGTCAGTCTAAGTATTCTAAAGTGACTACTCTTTCCTGTTATTTGAGAGACAACGTCACTAACTTCAGGGTTTTGTTGATTCAAATTTAGGAATGGGCAGTTGACCATTCCCAGTATAAATAGGGTTGATGTTTACTGGAGAGAGTGGTATTGAACTAAGAAGATAGATATGAAGTTGGGTCCAGGGAAAATCGGAAATCTGAGAGTGTCTTCAGTGCCTTTCCCCCTCCTTTCTGTTGTTTTTCTCACATTGAGTGCAGTTCTGTGCCTTGCAGTTCTCATGCTGCCTGTCCTGATATCGTCTGAAACACAAACTTCTACTAATAATAGTGGTTGAATTGCCATCCTTTCCATGGGATTTCATAGGTATAAAGAGTAGTGAGTGCAGAGGACAATGCTTAACTACAAAAATGAATGTCTAATGATGGAATTTTGATTCTTGTGGCATTTGATCAACATAGGGAGATTGAAGAACAGGACTTTTAATCAAACCCAAACCAAACCCACTGCTATTGAGGCAATTCTGACTCATAGCGACCATATAGGACAGGACAGAACCACTGCCTCATATGGTTTCCAAGGCTGTAAATCTTTACAGAAGCAGCTGCTTTGTCTTTCTCCCATGGAGCAGCTGGTGGGTAGGACTGCCAATGGTTAGCATCCCAATGCTTTAACCACAGCACCACCAGACCTCCTTAAGACTTTTAAAGTGACCCCTAAAAACTACCTTGGAATTGTCTACAGAAATTATCTGTAAAGTAACCTGACAGACTTGGAAGAAGGAAGGGGCCATCCGTTTCTCAAAGAAAACCTTATGAATAGCAGTGAAACAATGTCTGATATATTACTGGAAAACTTTATGAATAGCCCTAAAACATTGTCCAATACAGTGCCCAAAGATGAGCCCCTCAGGTCAGAAGTTACTCAAAATATGACTGAGGAAGAGCTGCCTCCTCAGAGTAGAACCAACCATAATGACATGGATGGAGAAAAGCTTTTGGGACCTCCATTTGGTGATGTGGCACAACTCAAAATGAGAAGAAACAGCTGCAAACATCCATTTATCATCAGAGCATGGAATGTATGAAGTATGAATGTAGGGAAATTGAAAGTTGCCAAAAATGAAACAGAATACAAGAGATCGATATCCTAGGCATTGATGAGCTGAAATGGACTGGTTTTGGCCATTTTGAATCAGATAAGCACATGATCTACTAAGCCAGGATGACAAATTGAAGATGAAAGGCATGACATTCATCACCACACAGAATGTTTCAAGATTTATCCTAAAGTACAGTGCTATCAGTGATAGGATGATATCCATATGCCTACAAAGAAGACCAGTTAATACTATTATTGAAATTTATGCACCAAGCACCAAAGCCAAAGATGAGGAAATTGAAGATTTTTATCAACTTCTGCAGTCTGAAATTGACCAAACATGCAATCAAGATGTGTTGGTTATCAGTGGTGACTGGAACGCAAAAGTTGGAACAAAGAAAAATCACTGGTAGTTGGAAAATATGGCCTTGGTGATAGAAATGATGCTGGAGATCATATGATAGAATTTTGCAAGACCAACTACTTATTCATTGCAAATGCCTTTTTTCAACAATATAAACAGCAGCTATACATGTGGACTTCGCCAGATGGAGTATACAGAAATCAGATCAACTGTATCTGTGGAAAAAGGTGATGGAGAAGCTCAGTATCTTCAGCCAAAACAAGGCTAGGAGCTGACTGTGGAACAGACCATCAACTGCTCATATGCAAGTTCAAGTTGAAGCTGAAGACAATTAAAACAAGTCCATGAGAGCCAAAATAATACCTTGATTATATCCCTCCTGAATTTAGAGACCACCTAAAGAATAGATTTGATGTGTTGAACACCAGTGACCAAAAACCAGAGGAATTGTGGGATGACATCAAGAACATCATCCATGAAGAAAGCATAAAAACCAAACTCATTGCTGTTGAATCGATTCAACTCATAGTGACCCCTTCTTGCGATTCTGAGGCAATATCTCTACAGAAGTAGATTGCCCAATCTTCCTTCTGAGGAGTGGCTGATGGGTTTGAACTGCCAGCCTTCTGGTTAGCAGTCAAATGCCATAGGCACTATGCCACCAAAGCAAAAGGTCATTAAAAAGACAGAAAAGGAAGAAAAGACCAACATGGATGTCAGAAGGGACTCTGAAACTTCCCCTTGAATGGAGAGTAGCTAAAGCAAATAGAAGAAATTGCAAAAGAGCTGAACAGAAATTACCAAAGAGCTGAGTAGCTCAAAAAGATGAAGTCAATTATTTTAATGAAATGTGCAAAGACCTGGAGTTAGAAAACCAAAAGGGAAGAACACACTAGGCATTTCTCAAGCTGAAAGAACTGAAGAAAGAATTTAAGCCTTGAGTTGCAATATTGAAAGATTCTATGGGCAAAATAATGAATGATTCAGGAAGCATCAAAAGAAGATGGAAGCAATACAGAGTCACTGTACCAAAAACAATTGGTTGATGTTCATCTACTTCAGGAGGTGGCATATGACCAAGAATCAATGGTATTGAAGGAAGAAGTCGAAGTTGCACTGAAGGAATTGGTGAAGAACAAGGCTCCAGGAATTGATGGAATACCCATTGAAATGTTTCAACAAATGGATGCCCCACTGGAAGCACTCACTAGGCTATGCCAAGAGATTCGAAAGACAGCTGCCTGGCCAACTGACTGGAAAAGATCCATATTTGAACCCATTCCAAAGAAAGGTAATCCCACAGAATGTGGAAATTATTGAACAATATCTTTAATATTACATGCAAGTAAAATCTTACTGAAGATAATTCAAAAACAGTTACAGCAGTATATTGACAGAGAACTTCCAGAAATGGCAAGCTGGATTAGGAAGAGGAGGTGGAACAAGGGATATCATTGCTGATGTCAGATGGATCTTGGCTGAAAGCAAAGAATACCAGAAAGATGTTTACTTGTGTTTTATTGACTATGCAAAGACATTTGATTGTGTGGATCATGACAAATTATGGATAACATTGAGAAGGATGGGAATTCCCGAACACTTGATTATATTCATGAGGAACCTGTACCTTGACCAGGAGGCTGTCGTTCAAATGGAACAAGGGGACACTACATGGTTTAAAATAAAAAAGGGAGTGTGTTAGGGTTGTATCCTTTCCCCACACTTATTCAATCTATATGCTGAGCAAATAATCTGAGAAGCTGGACTATATGAAGAAGAATGTGGAATCAGGATTAGAGGAAGACTCGTTAACAACCTGTGATATGCAGATAACACAACTTTGCTTGTTGAAAGTGGAGATGACTTGAAGCATTTACTGATGATTAAAGACTACAGTCGGCAGTATGGATTACATCTTGACATAAAGAAAACAAAAATCCTCACAACTGGACCAATAAGTAGCATCACAAT